CTTACCTTGATGTGAGGAACCACTATTACTGATTCCTGTCACTTGATATGTGCCTATTTAACTCTTAACTATGATTATTACCACTGGGATTATTTTTCCCTTTTGAGACTTGACAGATACTTCATAGTCATTATGTGTTATATCCTTAGAACTGTTTGGCTGACTGGTCTGCAATTGAACAATTAATTCCTGCCGACCTAGTCTGATTTCCTCCAGACCGTACTCTGGAGGTTTTGGCAAACCCACCCTTTGCATTAATAGGTTGATCAACTGCCAGGCTTACACCCTTTAATTTATTCAAAGCCTTACTTTTACAAGACAGTTTTTCTTCCAATTCGTAATGTTGATTAATTAAAACATTCATTTCCATTCCATCTGCACAATTCTCCAGCAGATCTCTTTCACAGTCTTTAAACCACAATTTGTACCACTCAAATCTACTCCCTAAAGCATCTAAATATAACTTTAATTCATCAGGGTTCACGGTTCTTTGATTCATTAAATCCAAGCACTTCGTCACATGGCCTTTAATAGCCTGTAATGATGCTTTCATTACTCTAAAATTCACGGACTTGTCAGCCACATTAACTCCATCAGATCCAGTCATGGTTAGAGAATTATTAATCACTGATTATACAACTTAAGTAGGCGCCTTATAAGAGTAATTCTTGCACTTTACTCTTGTATAAATCCTAGCCACACATGTGCTAGCAATTAATTGGGCTAATTATCATCCACCACACGATCGATTAAACTTGTATACCCTATACCCACTTCCTTCAATCAGTCACTTAATTATTAAGTAATTAATTCAATTAATTTTTTCACTGATTGCATCCGGTTCAGGAAGGACCAGCGGGCAGATGTGGAAAATTTTCTAGGGGTGATTACCTAAAAAAACTAAAAAAACTAAACAGATGACAGCAAAGAGACTGAACAGTCCCTGGCTAACACCCAGCATTCTCAAATCCATAAATACAAAACACCAATATGAAAAACAGTACAGAATGGGTCACATAACCAGAGACCAAACAAAACGTTACTCGTCAATCCTAACCAGCCTGATAAGAAGGGCAAAAAAATTGTATTATGAGAACAGATTATCCAACTTACGAGGTGATATAAAAAAGACCTGGAAAACCCTATCAGAAATTCTGGGAACAAACAAGATATCACGAAATAGCGAAATAAAATTAGCAAAAACAGATGAACCCCAACTCCCCCAACAGAAACAGCAACAGACTCAATGATTCTTCTCCACTATAGGACAAAACCTTGCCAATAAAATCCCAAGCTCAGATACCCTACCAAATGACTACCTCACCGGCAACTACCCGAACACACTGTTCCTAGCTCCGACTAACCCATACGAAGTCTCCCTTATTATCAACACACTAAAAAACAAGGCAGGAGATTTAAAACCTTACACCACCCCTTATATACAAAAAATGTCACAAGTGCTATCACCAATCATTGCAACACTCTTTAAACAAATCCATTGAATCCTCCACCTTCCCTACAGTACTCAAAATAGCAAGGGTCACCCCGATCCACAAAGGAGGAGACCAAACAGAGTTGAATAACTATAGGCCAATATCCAACTTACACCCTTCTCAAAAATCTTCGAAAATTAATTCATAAACGAATCTACTCCTACCTTATCTCCCAAACATACTCAACCCCTGCCAATTTGGATTCAGGCCTAATAAAATACTAATGATGCTATTATACACATGCTAGAACATATATACACTGCAATAGAGAAAAAAGAAAGTCCCACTGGGGATCTTCATTGACTTACGTAAAGCTTTTGATACAGTTGACCATGACTTGCTCCACGTAAAATTGTCACACTATGGTATAAGAGGGCACCCCTCAACTACCTCAAGTCTTACCTCAGCAACAGAAGCCAATATGTGTACGCAAATGGGGCAAACTCTTCTGCACAACCAATTACAGTTGGTGTCCCACAGGGAAGTGTCCTTGGCCCTCTTCTCTTTCTCCTATACATAAATGACCTTCCAAATGCTTCGCAATTACTCAAACCCACACTATTTGCAGATGACACTACATACGTCTTCTCTCACCCAGCCCAGTCACGCTAGCCAATACTGTAAATACCGAATTACAGAAAATATCTACCTGGATGAGGACTAACAAACTTACACTAAACATTGACAAAACCTACTTCATTCAGTTTGGTAACAGAGCTAGAGATGTCCCTCTTAACATAATGATAAATGGATCACCTATCACAAAACTAACAGAGGGAAAATTCTTAGGAATCCACCTTGATAATAGACTCAAATTTCATACACATATACATCAAATTTTCTAAGAAAAATTTCCAAGACTGTAGGCTTACTATCGAAGATACGGTACTATGTTCCACAGTCAGCCCTCCTGGCCCTATATCACTCTCTATTTACCCCTATCTCACCTATGGAATTTGTGCATGGGGCTCAACAACATTAACCATCTCAGACCACTAATTACCCAACAAAAGGCTGCAGTTAGAATGATAACAAATTCTCACTACAGGCAGCACACTCCACCAATATTCAATACACTAAACCTACTCACCATACAAAACATCCATACTTATTACTGCACCTATTACATACATAGAACACTTAACTCTGATATGAACCCTCCCTCAAACATCTCCTTGCCAACCTCAACAGAACACACATGACCAAACACAAGGCACAGATCACTCTTTGATGTTCCTCGTGTCCATCTCACACTATGCAAAAACTCAATGCACATAAAAGGCCCTAAAATCTGGAATTCATTACCTGTAAATATAAAAGAAACACAACCTGTTTATAAATTCAAGTCTCTTCTCAAAGATTACTTACTCACCCAAAACCAAATAAATACTGAATAACTGAACATTATCAATTGTATATCTTAAATGTTTCTCACAATTATATCACAAAATGTTAAACCTAAAACCCAATCTAACTTTATTATTTTTTAAATACACTACCTAACAGAATCACTACCTAACTGAATGCAACCATATGACCTGTCCTTTGTAATACTCACTTGTGCTTTTTTGTTATTGTTTACTTTAATTTTTTAATCACTGATTTCTCTTTTGTTAGTAGCAGCGCTGTATAGCCCTTTGTGGTTAGCATTCTTTTTGATTTTAAATAAATATAATTCATTGCTTAGTTAATCTTAATTTAAATTTTTAAACCCCAACCCCGTAATGCTATGCATAGTAAAAAGTGGTTTTGGGGCCTACTGCTTTTATCTGTTTTTTTTTTTGTACCTCTGTATGTGGGGCACAAATTGGAAATAAAAAAAATAAATAAATAAATATACATAAAAGTAATCTCATTGGGGGGACAAAAACCCTATTGTTTAAGGAGTCACCCCCTTTTAGAATGTGAGAAAAAATTAAACCCCCCCTTTGGGCAAAGGCAGATGGTCCCCTTTGACCTCACCCAAACTTATCCATTTCTATCCGAGACCAGTATGGTTGGTAGCACCCACAAGTGCGGTGCTTTTTAATTTTAAATTTTGGACTGTATAGATTAATTAGTGTAACTGAAAGAAGGGGGGGGGGGGAGGTTACACATGGATAAATCCCTTTAAAGAAAAACACTTTTAATAAATTTTTTTTACTTACCAAAATATTCTCTGGGGGTCACTTGATGTAGCTGGGGTCAAATTTATAACCTATCCAATTTCAACATACCTAATGGCCAGGGTTTAGGGCTGCTATAACTAGAAGGGTTATTAACTGGGGTGATTGATACTCCTTAAATTTTCCTTTCCCTTCACCAATTTTCATTTTGATTTTCCCGGGGGTACAGTGATACCCGACCGGTTCTATTCCGCGGACGAGGTATCCGTTGGTTTGTTTCCCCGGTTTTTGAAGTCGTGACTTTAATGAACTTCACTTCCTCGTCCCGGGAACAACGAGGGCTAACGTGTTCACCGGGGAAGGCGACTTATTTCACTTCACGCATTCTCTTAACTTGCGTTTTTTATCATTAATTTCATTTTCAATTACAAGGGCGATTTAATGTCTCATAATTATTGTACACTTGAGATCCCCTCCATTAGATTTTGGACCCAGAGTGATGATTAAACCCAAGGGGGAATTTTTTCCCGGGGGCACGTCCCTGGTGAAAGCCCCCAGTCACCCGTTCCTAACCCTTTTTCCACTCATTTTACCACTCTATTACGGTGGTCCCGTAAATCACATTCCCTCACTCTCCACCAGGAACAGTTACAACACTTCCTATTATGAAGTGAGGCATATATTAATCCTTAGGCCGCCCTGAACGTCAATCTCCTGGTTCCATGCTTTCCCAGCCTCCTCAGTACATTCAAAACACTCCCGCCTCCCCCATGCCCCGAGACGACCTCTACCCCCGCACATCCGCGCATGCGCAAAGGGAACTCTTGGTTCTATCCTATTGTCAAATACATTTTTGACTCATATCGACACATTAAACACCTATTAGGCACTATAGCTTCGGAAAATTAAAATATTTTCCACAGAAATGTTTCGGCACATAGTGGCTGCATAAGTTCTATACAAAGGTTCCAAAGCGATGCACAGTTAGGTTAATATCTTTATTAAGCACCTACGTCTAATATATGAACCTATCGGTTCTCTGAACAAATTATCTACAAAAAAGGAGTCAATAAATAACTAAAAAAGGCACAATACCGTGACTGGAAATGCCCGAAATGCCTAGCCTTCCTAGGTGTTCTAGTGGCACCCTCTGTAATTAGTATTTTATAACATGTAAACCACACAATAACCAAAATCTCTAAACCCCGCATTGTAATCCTTATAAAGAATAAACTTTGATTTGGTTTGATTTGATTTGATACACAAATAACCCGCACCTAGAAGAGAGGAGCTAACGACGACGTTTCGGTCCAACTTGGACCATTTGTTACTTTGTAAATGGTCCAAGTTGGACCGAAACGTCGTCGTAAACTCCTCTCTTCTATGTGCTGGTTATTTGTGTAAAAAAGGAGTCATTACGGCGTGAGCTGTCAGTGGCCCTAATAAACCCAAAATAAACAGTTCAGTCTGTGGTAGCCTTATAATCCCCCAACAAAGGAAGTCTTCACAGGTAATTATATTTTCTTCAGTCGCATTACCATTTCTTGCATTGCTTGCACACCACATCGTGCAACCTGTTCTTGCAGTTATTAATTTACCACAAACATAATACATTTTTGTCCTTATTTGTGAAGTGTTGACTTTAGTTTGAGGATCTTCACTCTTCACGGGAGGGTCCTTGATGTTGGTGAGGAGCTCTTGATCACAAGAACTGGACTTATACTCCATTTCCTTGGATTAAACCTGATTATGTCCTATTCCCCAGCTTCTCGATTCACATACTGGATGACCAGTACGGTTTGGGCGCTTGTTTTTGACAATAAGTAATAATAATAATAATGATAATAATAATTAGTTGATGCTGGTGCTTGTCTCTGGATCCAAAGAATTGTACCTATCCTTCCCTTTCATACCTCAAACCTGGTTGTCTCCCATGTCCGTGGCACTGTATATACGACCCATACGGCTTTAGTGCTTTCCTATTACCTGGAGTTTACCTGGAGAGAGTTCCGGGAGTCAACGCCCCCGCGGCCCGGTCTGTGACCAGGCCTCCTGGTGGATCAGAGCCCGATCAACCAGGCTGTTACTGCTGGCTGCACGCAAACCAACATACGAGCCACAGCCCGGCTGGTCAGGAACCGACTTTAGGTGCTTGTCCAGTGCCAGCTTGAAGACTGCCAGGGGTCTGTTGGTAATCCCCCTTATGTATGCTGGGAGGCAGTTGAACAGTCTTGGGCCCCTGACACTTATTGTATGGTCTCTTAACGTGCTAGTGACACCCCTGCTTTTCATTGGGGGGATGGTTTCATCGTCTGCCAAGTCTTTTTGCTTTCGTAGTGAGTGATTTTTCGTGTGCAAGTTTGGTTAGTCCCCCCTAGGATTTTTCCCGGTTTTATATAATCTGTATCTCTCCCGCCTGCGTTTAGGGAATACAGGTTCAGGAACCTCAGGTGCTCCCAGTAATTTAGGTGTTTTATCTCCGTTATGTGCGCTGTGAAGATTCTCTGTACATTTTCTAGGTCAGCAATTTCACCTGCCTTGAAAGGTGCTGTTAGTGTGCAGCAATATTCCAGCCTAGATAGAACAAGTGACCTGAAGAGTGCATCATGGGCTTGGCCTCCCTAGTTTTGAAGGTTTCATTATCCATCCTGTCATTTTTCTAGCAGATGCGATTGATACAATGTTGTTGTCTTTGAAGGTGAGATCCTCCGACATGATCACTCCCAGGTCTTTGACGTTGGTGTTTCACTCTATTTTGTGGCCAGAATTTGTTTTTTTACTCTGATGAAGATTTAATTTCCTCGTGTTTACCATATCTGAGTAATTGAAATTTCTCATCGTTGAACTTCATATTGTTTTCTGCAGCCCACTGAAAGATTTGGTTGATGTCCGCCTGGAGCCTTGCAGTGTCTGCAATGGGAAAACACTGTCATGCAGATTCGGGTGTCATCTGCAAAGGAAGAAACGGTGCTGTTGACTGACATCCTTGTCTATGTCGATATGAGGATGAGGAAACAAGATGGGAGCGAGTTAAATGTGCCTTGTGGGAACAGAGCTTTTCACCGTTTGCTGCCTCGGACTTTACTCTGTTGACTACTACTCTCAGTGTTCTGTTAGTGAGGAAATTTTTAGATCCATCAAAAGACTTTTCTGTTATTCCTTTAGCACGCATTTTGTGCGCTATTACGCCATGGTCACACTTGTTGAAGGCTTTTGCAAAGTCTGCATATATTACATCTGCATTCTTTTTGTCTTTTAGTGCATCTAGGACCTTGTCATAGTATCCAAAAGTTGAGACAGACAGGAGCGACCGGCTTGAAACCCATGTTGTCCTGGGTTGTGTAATTGATGGGTTTCTAGATGGGTTTGGGGATCTTGCTTCTTAGGACCCTTTCAAAGATTTTTATGATATGGGATGTTAGTGCTATCGGTCTGTAGTTCTTTGCTATTGCTTTACTGCCCCCTTTGTGGAGTGGGGCTATGTCTGTTGTTTTGTAAAATGTGGGACGACCCCCGTGTCCATGCTCCCTCTCCATAGGATGGTAAAAGCTCGTGATAGGGGCTTCTTGCAGTTCTTGATGAACACGGAGTTCCATGAGTCTGGCCCTGGGGCAGAGTGCATGGGCATGTCATTTATCACCTGTTTGAAGTCATTTGGCGTCAGGATAACATGAGATAGGCTTGTGTTACCCAAATTTTGTGGCTCTCTCGTAAAAAGTTCATTTTGATCTTCGACTCTCAGTCTGGTTAGCGGCTTGCTAAAAACTGAGTCATATTGGGACTTGAGTAGCTCACTCATTTCGTTGCTGTCATCTGTGTAGGACCCATCTTGTTTAAGTAGGGGCCCAATACTGGACGTTGTTCTATAGTTAGCAAAGTTTAGTATTGTTTATTTTCATTATTTCAGTTGTATTATGAAAGTAAATCCCACATAAATAACAAAAAGGCACAATACCGTGACTGGAACGATACACAAATAACCCACACATAAAAGAGAGAAGCTTACGACGACGTTTCGGTCCGACTTGGACCATTGACAAAGTCACACTAACAGAGGTGAAGCAGAACGGCTATATATAGGCAGGAAGAGGTGGAGGTAGTAGTAGTAGTACAAGAATTGTATATAATACTGACAAGATGAAATTAAGATACATGCACAACACCCGGGCATCCCCATCGTAGACGTTTCGCCATCCAGCCAGCCACTGGATGGCGAAATGTCCACAACAAAGACAACCAGACGCCGCACATGTGTCTTAATTTCATCAGTAGTTGTAGTAGTAGTAGAAGAAGAAGAGGTAGTAGTAGTGGTAGTGGTAGAAGTGGGAAATAAGGATGACGAGCCAGTCAAAACAAAGGAAGGGGAGCACTGCAAGAGAGCTAGATGCCCACAGAGGGGGAGCAAGTGCACAGAGGTGCGTTGAAAGGGGAAGTGGTGAAATATAATAAATGAAGAAGGAACAGAAACACGAGACAGGAGAGAGAAAGACAACCCAGAGGAGAAAGGAAATAGGAAAGGGGAAGAGGAAGAAGAAAAAGAAAGAAAAAATGAGGATTCAGGGTTTAAGTCACGGGTGTTCTGAAGTTTGGAGCATTTTACAATGTAGTGGGAGAGGAAGGCATCTACAGAGACGAAGCCAGGGCTAAGGTTCATACAAGGAAAGTTGTGTATTAGAGAGGATTCAACTAGAAGGCGACTGTTCGAGTTGGAAGTAGGGAAGACAGTTTTAGCAGAAGACCAGTCAATAGGATGGCTATGATCTCTGACGTGACAGAAAAGAGCATTGTTAGATGTCGGCAAGCCTAACATATTTTTGTGCTCCTAAGTCTGTCAGAAAGAGATCGGCCAGTTTCTCCGAAGTATTGAAGAGGACAGGAGGAGCAGAAATAGAGTAGACACCAGAACATCTGTAGAGGGAGGAGAGGTATGAACGAGATTAGTGCGAAGAGTGTTAGTCTGGCGGAAGGTAAGCTTGATGTCTAAGGGACGGAGAGAATTGTTGAGATTAGAAAGACCGGAAATGTAGGGAAGGCAGAGGATAGAAGAGTTCCCATGAGTAGAGAGTTTGGGAGAGAAGAAATTGCGTTTAGCATGTGAGAGGGCAGAGTCTATGAAATGGGAAGGGTAGCCAAGACGGGAGAACGAATTATGAAGGGTGGAAATTTCTGCTGGAAGGAACTGAGGATCACAGATGCGGAGGGCACGGAGAAAGAGGGAGATAAGAACACTTTTCTTGACAGGGGAAGCATGATAGGAAAAGCAGTGAATGTACATGCCACTGTGCATAGGTTTACGGTAAACTACAACTACTGATGAAATTAAGACACATGTGCGGCATCTGGTTGTCTTTGTTGTGGACGTTTCGCCATCCAGTGGCTGGCTGGATGGCGAAACGTCTACGATGGGGATGCCCGGGTGTTGTGCATGCGTCTTAATTTCATCTTGTCGGTATTATATACAATTCTTGTACTACTACTACTACTACTACCTCCACCTCTTCCTGCCTATATATAGCCGTTCTGCTCCACCTCTGTTAGTGTGACTTTGTCAATGGTCCAAGTCGGATCGAAACGTCGTCGTAAGCTTCTCTCTTTTATGTGCGGGTTATTTGTGTATATATCCCACATGGTGTATCTTTTGTTTTCACATATTAAAATGAAAAGATTTTTTAAAGTTACCATAAATTAACTTGCTTACATATTTAACACTTCTTTCCCATGGTTCTGAAGCTTTATTAAATCATTATAGTTAAAATGGTATTTGAATTATGGTAAAAAAAATTTCTGAGAATAATGGTTGACATTTAGAACTTTTAAAATGTTTTACAGTATCACTACTACTGCATTTTTATAATTTTTTATTTTAATGGTTAATGGGGTGTAAAGCATATCTAGTGCAATAGGGTCATTAAGGCTGCATGTAACCTACTCACCACCAGGCAAAAATACTGTACGTTAATTCATAAAATAGGGATTGAAGTATACTCTCAGTGTATATACATTGTATATACACTGAGAGAAATGCACCTCTTGGTGTACACAGTTAGCTCTTTATAAAGTTTCTCTGTATAGTGCAATGATTTGCATATACAACTTAAAAAGCACTATTATAAAAAGCCCTTGATGTGCTATCCAATTTTGGATGCACAAAACATTGCAACTTATACTACTAGAAGTTTTTTAAGAAAGCTTAATGTAAAGTATATCCTAGTTTTTTTAAAATACAGTGAACCCCTGGTTTACAATATTATTTCATTCCAGAAGTATGTTCAGGTGCCAGTACTGAACGAATTTGTTCCCATAAGGAATATTGTGAAGTAAATTAGTCCATTTCAGACCCCCAAACATACACGTACAAACGCACTTACATAATTGGTCGCATTGGGAGCTGTTCGTAAAGCGGGGGTCCACTGTATATATTTTTCTGTTAAAGTTTTATGTACATACATTAGCCACTATTTTCAGACAAAAATGGCTAATAAAGTTCCACGGATCTTGGTGACTGGAGCATCAGGACTGCTGGGCCGAGCTGTTGTCAAGGTCTTGAAAGCGAAAGAATGGGATGTTGTGGGTGTAGCATTCACTAGGTATGATAGTATAAATTTTGGTCTCTATCAGTAATTTTGTAGAAGTTATGATAATCCAAATAATGCATATTGAGCTAATGACCTTTGCATGGTGACTGTGAGTAAGACAAAATCAAATCATATATTTTAAACCTATCCATTAAAACCATAAGGTAAACAGTTATAAAAATATACTTTACATAAGATATAAATTTTAATAGTAATAGTAGTAGTGGTAGTAGTAGTAATAATAATAATAATAATAATAATAATAATAATAAGAAGAAGAAGAAGAAGAAGAAAGGAATTATTATTATTTTATTATTTTTTTATCTCATTTTTTTCACATGATACATTTTTTTATTTTTACAAAATTGAATGAAATTTAAAAGTACACATGGAAAGTCCCTTGTATGCAGAGCATTTGCTTATCAGGCATATGTACTGTACACTATATCATATATATATTTATGGTGCTTATTAATTAATTTACTGATGTTGCAGAGTTGGTTCTGGGCTAATAAAGTGCAACTTAACTGACTCAGAAGCTGTAAGTGCCTTGATAGAAAAAGTAAAGCCTGACATCATAATCCATGCTGCAGCTGAGCGTTTCCCCGATGTTGTGGAGAAAAAATATAAGGAAACACAACTGCTGAATGTGAAGGCTTCTGCCCATATTGCTTCAGTTGCTCGTAAGACATTCTCTTAGGATGAAAATTGTTGTGGGTTGGAATGCTGTAATTTATTCGTGCTTTGCCGTTTTTATGCTGAATAATATCCTTCATGGGGGATTCCTTGATGATAGTGCAGAGCTCTTGGTCCATGGAATAGAAGCTACCCCTTTGGTCCTTGGATGAAATCTGATTATTGTACCCACCATTCCTCAGCCACTATATGATTCTTGCTAATTTAGCACTTTACCATGATTTTTGTATGATAATAATAATAGTAATAATAATAATCTCACTGTAAGTGCTCATACAGATGGTGTCTTCACATGTACTTGATTCCTAGTACATTTACATTTTTCCAGCAATTGATTTCTCACCTGATATTTTCTTTGCAGTAGGCACCATAACAGGACCACAGAATTTCTGTAAATATAAAAGAAACACTACCTGTTTATAAATTCAAGTCTCTTCTCAAAGATCACTTACTCACCCAAAACCAAATAAATACTGAATAACTGAACCTTATAAATTGTATATCTTAAATGTTTCTCACAATTATATCACATAAATGTTAAACCTAAAACCCAATCTAACTTTATTATTTTTTAAATACACTACCTAACAGAATACTCCATTCTACTGAATGTACAACAATGCATACAACCATATGACCTGTCTTTGTAATACTCACTTGTGCTTTATAGTAATCTGTTTACATTAAAGTTTTATCACCGATGTCATCATTGCTTAGTTCATCTTAAGTTAATTTTAAGCCAGCCCGTAATGCTATGCATAGTATAAGTGGCTTTGGCATACTGCTCTTTTCTGTATTTTTTGTACCTCTGTATGTGTGCACAAATTTTTAAATAAATAAATAAATAAATAAAAATAAATAGTTACCCCAGATTTTCAGCTTGCTTTGTATTGTAACTGAGTTGTAAAAATATGCTGTTGAAACAGAATTTTCATAAAATTACTAATAAATGAATTAGCACATTATTCATTTCTCCAGAAACCACATGTTTACAAGTAAATGTATTTTTTAAAATGTCCATAGATACAATGCTGGAGTTGTAAATTATGTGTGAAAAATCATTTTATTTTTACTACACCGGTTGTCTTCTACTGAGGCAGGTTGTCCACAAAAAAAAAAAAAAAAAAAAATCACCATTCTGTCCTGCTAGAAGTACATCTACATCACAGTTCAGATACTCAACATTTATAATAAATATGCATTATTAGAGCTAGTACTAAATAGAATTATTTTATATTTCAGAGCAGCACGGTAGTAAATTGCTTCACATCAGTACGGATTATGTGTTTGATGGCACTTCACCTCCCTACAAATGTAATGATAAATGCAATCCTCTCAACAAGTATGGTCAGACAAAGTTACATGCAGAACAAGCTGTTTTAAGGGAGTGTCCAGGTAAACCTACTTATTACAAATCTGAAACAAATTTAAGTAAAGGGAAAGTCTTAGTCATAATGTGATCTGCTTAGTAGAGCTTTTAGCCATTTGACTGAAACTTTCCACTGATTTATCAGCAGGAAGTCTCTACCACTACCTCTACCACCACTTCTACCATTTTTCTACTACATTATCTCATTCCACTGGTGCTGTCCCTTCTCATATATGCATATACTGGCTCCCTTTCTCTTTGTGCTTTGGTGTTACTAGTTAATGGTCCAAGTCAGACCAAAATGTTGTAATAAGTTTTATTCAGAAAGAACAAAAAGGCATAATAACAGTACAGTATAACCCAAACATAGGAGAGAGAACAGCTTATGATGGCATTTTGTTCCGTATTGGACCATTCACAAGTCACACTGACAGAAGGGAGTGAGTGAGCCAGTATATACAGACGAGGAGGACAAGGATGGGAAAAAGAGTGGAGGAATAAGTAGTAGTGGTAGTAGTAATGCTGATAATAGAAGTAGTAGTGGTAGTAGAAAGTTTGGGGGTGTAGTTTATGCTACAAGAGATAGAAAGGAGAGTGAAGGGGGCAATACAGTGGACCCCCGGTTAACAATATTTTTTCACTCCAGAAGTATGTTCAGGTGCCAGTACCGACCGAATTTGTTCCCATAAGAAATATCGTGAAGTAGATTAGTCCATTTCAGACCCCCAAACATACACGTACAAACGCACTTACATAAATACACTTACATAATTGGTCACATTCGGAGGTAATCGTTATGCGGGGGTCCACTGTAGTAGTAGTATTAGTAGTAATAGTAGTAGAAAAGGTAGAAGCTGTAATAGTAGCAAAGGAGCAGTAGATATATAGTAGTAGTAACAGTAGAAGTAGGGTAAGTCTAAGGACAAGAAAAGAAGCATTGGAGGAGAGCTAAGGACTCACAAGGAGTAGTCTCCTATATATAGGCTATTTGTGTTTTATCAGGACACACATAAAACATATAAGCAGTGGAGTTCCACATAACACATTGGTTGTGTTCTTGAAAATCAGCATTTTACATGAAAATGTGTTATGCGGACTGAAGAACTTGGGAAAAAATAGGGCTAAGAATCAGTAATTGGAAGTGTACACGCTTTTGTTTTATTTATTTCATTTTTTACTGAAAACATTCTGTGAGAATGTGTTATATGACTACTGTATTACTTTATAAGATGTCAAAATGTAATAAAATACATTGTATACACATTCATTTACATGAATAGAGTATGACTGATATAACTAGGAAAGGAGTAAATATCTGTCAGCATGACATAGGGATTTTTGATGACTTATGTAATGAGAACTTAGTGCTAGACCACTAGGCTCATACAGCACTGCCTTATATCAGTAAATGTCATGAAAAATCAAGGATATCTCTCATATGAATATCATAAAAGATTTGCACAGTATGTTGATATTTTTTCATGAGCATGCTGCATTATTAATTGATATTAAATTATTTCAGGTGCCTGTATATTGCGAGTTCCCGTTCTTTATGGACCTGTTGAGAGACTGGAAGAAAGTGCTGTCACTTGTCTGTTCAGTGCTCTGAAAAGCAGAGAGCCTACAACTGTGTCTCACCATGATAAGCGATGCCCAGCCCATGTAAATGATATAGCACACATTATGTATGATTTGATTTCACTCATCATGAAGGTAAATAGAATTTTATTTATTTTATTACTTGCTTTCCTTACAAAATCCATGCTGTGAAAGTTGCCACAACCAAAATATTGCTAGATAGGTCTAATAACACAGTGTTTCATTCAACACATGTCATAGAAGGAAACACATTCACCATCAATCATTTTCTATCTGTTTTTCCAGAAATGCATGAACATATTTTTAACACACCAGCTGTCTCCCACTAAGGTAGGGTGATACAAAACGAGGAAATACATTCACTGTCATTCATCATTTGCTGTCTAATGTCTCTCCAGAAGCATCCTGACATCATATTTTATTTGTCCCTCTGAACTACAGCATCTTCACCCCTCTAAAGTAAAGGGGCTGTACCTCTTGCCTCCAGAACTCAAGTCTGGCTAACTGGTTTACCCTGCAGCCATTTTTCATTTAAGAACATAAGAAAGAAGGAACACTGCAGCAGGCCTACTGGTCCATGCAAGACAGGTCCAATTCTCCTACCGGCTTAAGCCAATGCCTTAACCAAGCTGGGTCATGTCATGTTCACTTAAGGAAGGAGTACAGCATCTGACCTAGTAGCACAAACTAGTCAGGTCAAACTCACACCCACCCACACCAACTCGTGTACTTTTCTAACCTATTTTTAAAACTACGCAATGCCTTAGCCTCTATGACGGCACTCAGGAGTTTGTTCCACTCATCCACAACTCTATTACCTTACCAGTGCTTTCCTATATCCTTCCTGAATCTGAATTTTTCCAGCTTAAAGTCAATGCCACGAGTCCTGTCTAGGCTAAATATTTTTAGCACGCTATTTACATCCCCTTTATTCATTCCTGTTTTCCATTTATACACCTCAATCATCTCCCCCCTAATTCTATGCCTTTCTAGAGAGTGCAGATTCAGGGCCCTCAGTCTATCCTCATAGGGAAGATTTCTGATACATTTGCCCAAACTTCACTTTTGAAATAGCCCCTCTGAACAGCAACATCCTCACCCATTCTTCAGAGTTCTGTGTTGTTTTATATCTTAGCTATATGAACACCTCTGATTTTTAAACCTTAAACAATTAAGTGTAGATGACCTGAATGAAATTACTACAGCTACCTTGGGCCTGGAATATATTTGTCACATCTATCAAGAGACTGCTAGGGTTAGCATATACAGAGCCCCTGTATCCGTGGATTCCATTTCAGTGGTTTCAGTTATCTGCTGTTTATCTTGGCCTGAAAATATTAAGGAGATTGCAATTTAAGGTTTAATTTTTTTTGTTTTTTGTCAGAGTTCATTCATTTTTTACTGTTTGAATAAGAGTGCATAAAACATAATCATATAACGTTTCATTAAGGTTGCTCAACAAACATATGAATAAAAAAAATATACTGAAAATTGGATTTGGCAGCAAATGGGCATAAACTGGCAATACCAAAAGTCATTTGGACACTCCTTACTAATTTTATAATGGTGGTTAATACTGTAATATACCTTATTTTCATCCCTCCAAAAAATAATGTTTGCAAGTTTTTGACATTTAGTAAAATATCTGCCCTTTACCCTACCACAAATGCCAAAAAAATGAAAACCATTTTACTTGTTTGCATAACATTCATTGTTGAATGCTTGTTGTGAAAATCCTTTCTAGCACTATGAATGACATGCTTCCTCCCATCATGGCATCTTCATTGTCACTCTTGGCTTCACCTTGGTTTGCCATAATTCCCCTCATTATATAACAATGCCAAATGGTGATTTTAATATATTAGAAGACAAAATACAAAGGAATAATAATGAAAACAAGAAAAAAATGCCAAAAATTCACTTCATATACAGGGATATACTGTGGCATCATCACAAGAAATGTTGTAGTGACTATAATTCGTTGTTGAAACATCATACAAAGATGAGAATTACACCAAAATTGTTGCCAGAGTGTTGAGGTATTTTTCTTATTATTATTATTATTTTTTTTTTTTACCTCAGGTTCTAAGTGCTGTGATCGAAAATTCCAGAATAAACAATTCATAATTCTCAAATGTATTTAAACTGTGTGTGTGTGTGTGTGTCTTTATGCATGAGCAAGATATTTTTCACTGCTTCATCGTTCTTGAGGGCTAAGCTAAATGTCAGAATCCTGTTCATGAGAGAGAGAGAGTGAGTGAGTGAGTGAGTGAGTGAGAATGAGAATGAATGAATACATAATGTACAATGCATTTTATTATTATTTAATATTGGTAGTGTTTTATTGTGTGCAATTTATCATTTAAATTTTATTGTAGGTATGTATGTATGTGATTATGTGTGAGTGAGGTGAAAGTGTTGAATGATGATGAAAGCTTTTTCTTTTTGGGGATTTTCTTTCTCTTTGGGTCACCCTGCCTCGGTGGGAGACGGCCGACTTTTTTTTTTTTTAAAATGTATGTAAACAAAAAAACGACATATATAGGGTTCACTACTATCCGTGGTTTTGGGCATCCACGGTAGGTCTTGGAACGTATCACCCATGGATACAGAGATGGGGGTGGGGAGACTACTGTAATAGTGTTCTATTAATTTTTATTTGTATATAACCTCTCTTAATTAATGAAATTTTATTTTTTACAGGGTAAAACTCTTGATGGGATTTTTCAGTGGAGTGGAAAAGAAAAGCTAACAAAATATGAAATGACCCTGACAATGTCTCGAATCTTCTCTTTACCACACGACCATATTACACCCAGTTACTCTGCTGGGTCACTCAGACCCTACGACCCTGAGATGGATGTATCACGACTCACTGATTTAGGAATATCTCATCACACCAACTTTGAAGATGGTATTAAGGAATGTCTATCTCCATGGTTGTAATGGTATGTATGGATGGTAAACCTTCTATATAACAGACTAAGGGGAAATAACTATCCACATTTTCATTAAATTTGATTAATGCTGCTGTATAATTTATATTGTACTGCAACAAACATTGAAAATAAATGAGTTAAAAGTACAGTTTACTTAAGGGATTTTGCCCATTATTTGAAAGGCCCATTATATCAAGGTGCATTATATCAAAGTCCATTATATTGAGGTCCATTGTATTTAGGTTTACTAACTAAAGAACTTTAAAATATCCTCAAATCCTCATCACAACTCAAATATTCAAGATGATATTGACTATTTTCTTCATGCACATTTTACAGCTTCCATGATGATAGACACAGATGAATGAAACTTATTTCTTTCTCTTCACCAGCTAAACATCAGTGTATCAGTTACTCTTTTATTATCTGTACTTTGCCATTCAAGAGAATTACTTTCACGATGGTGAAGGGCTCTATATCCAAGGAGTTTGAACTACCTTACCTTTCCTTGGGCCCAGTTTTTAAGCCCTCATCTTTGATCAAACCTGATTGAATTCTATTCCTCAGATTCTGTATGATCTGTTAGAATTTAGCTAATCCCCATGAATATAATAATAATAATAATAATAATAATAATACATACATACATACAGATCTTTCTTGCTTTATGTGTTCCAGGCCCAGGGCAGTTGTAATAAGCTCATTCAAGCTATTAACACTTAATTCTATTTAATAACAATCTTCAGTATGTTTTGTGAGCCTCACTAGTCACATACAGTAGTGTTTATCACATATAAAGTTCGTTTGCATTAAGAGATGGAAAGTCTGTGTAGTTCAAGAATATTATTTTTATTATAATCATGGGAAAGCGCTAAACCCCTAGAATTATACAGTGCCTGTGGAAGGGGGGATGGAAAGTATTCAGGCTTAATGTAGGGAACTGGAGCACAGATACAATTCCCTAAATCAAGAGTCCCTCACCATTGTCAGGAAACCTCCCTTGAGGAGAGTTCAAGAACAAAGTATCCCTTAACTGTATTTGAATTTAAGTGAATCAAATTGTAACTCATTCCGTATCAAAAGATATTTCTACTGTAAAGTTCCCAATTAAGTGACAAGTTCTAAATGAGACCAATGATTTTCTCAGCCTTGTCCTTTTTTTACAAAGCTGTCCAAGTTATGCAATGTAACTTTAATTGTAGGGTACTTGCACGTGGTAATAGCTTTCTCCCTGCACATTAAACTAATGTTGAAAATTTGATGCCAATTGGACAAAGTGTTCTTAATTCATTGTTCTTGATTCACTGGACTAATGGAGAGGGGGAGAAGATGTTAAAGCTGTCTGTTGTTTAAGTCCACAGTTGTTACAATAACAGACATTTTCGGATTTAATGGACTTATTCTGTTGAATCCAAATATTAATTTACCCATTAGACCAAAACAGTAACAGATAAGTCTTTATTTAACAGACTTTAATTGTCTGTAAAAATATTGGACAATTCTGATTTAAGGGACTTTGCACATTTAATTCAAAATGAATTTACCCAGTAGTCTGTAAGAATAAGAAGTTTCCGAATGTTGTCCAACCACAGATTTTATTTTGTTTGTTAAATTTGAAATCCAATAAGTCAGGATCCATTAAATCAAGGCTTTACTGTATTACTTACCTCAGTAGAAATGGATACAAACTAGTACTACCAACAATAGTGAAGAAAGGACACGGGTACAAAGCACACTTTTACTGTGACATTTTGTTCTTATGTAGAGCTTTATCAAGTCAATGATAAAAGTCTACATAGAGCTGAACACTGTTACTGACTTCATAAATGGGGGCACATCACAAGCGGTGTTTCGCAGGGGTCAGTGTTGGGCCCTTTGTCATTCACAATTTACATAAATGACATAGATGAGGGAATAAATAGCAACATAAGCAAATTTGCTGATGACACCAAAATAGGCCCTTCAATTCACTCTAATGAGGACCATAGAGCACTTCAGGATAATTTGAATAGATTGATGCAATGGTCAGAGAAATGGCAGGTGCAGTTTACTAATGATTGCGAAGAGGATTTAGGAGTTCTGGTAAGCAGTAATTTAAAACCAAGGCAGCAGTGCATTAGTGTTCGCAATAAAGCTAATAGAATCCTTGGCTTCATATCTAGAAGTATAAATAATAGAAGTCCTCAGGTTGTTCTTCAACTCTATATATCCTTGGTTAGGCCTCATTTGGATTATGCTGCGCAGTTCTGGTCACCGTTTTACAGAATGGATATACAGTGGACCCTCGACCAACGATGGCATCGATTAACGATAAATCCGACTAGCGATACATTTTAACGCAAAAATTTTGCCTCGACTAGTGCTAAAAAACTCGACCAACACTATTCGTTCCATCTGAGACGCGTCCACTTCTGGCCAGTGTTTACAAGCCAGCCAGCCACCGCGGTCGCTTCCAAGCATACAATCGGAACATTTCATATTATCACAGCCTTTTTAGTGATTGCACCTGCAAAATAAGCCACCATGGGCCCCAAGAAAGCTTCTAGTGCCAACCCTACAGCAAAAAGGGTGAAAATTACTATGGATATGAAGAAAGAGATCATTGCTAAGTATGAAAGTGGAGTGCGTGTCTCCGAGCTGACCATGTTGTACACAAAACCCCAATCAACCATCGCTACTATTGTGGGCAAGAAAACGGCAATCAAGGAAGCTGTTCTTGCCAAAGGTGCAACTATGTTTTCGAAACTGAGATCGCAAGTACTCGAAGATGTTGAGAGACTGTTATTGGTGTGGATAAACGAAAAACAGATAGCAGGAGATAGCATCTCTCAAGCAATCATATGTGAAAAGGCTAAGAAGTTGCATGATGATTTAATTAAAAAAATGCCAGCAACTAGTGGTGATGTGAGTGAATTTAAGGCCAGCAAAGGTTGGTTTGAGAGATTTAAAGGGAAGGGAAGTAACCCCAGTAAAGGACTTGCCACCTCAAGTCCTAATGGAAGGGGATTCCCCTTCTAAACACTAAGACCATCAACACTCTTCCCTCCTCCCATCCCATCAATCATCACCTGATCTTCAATAAAGGTAAGTGTCATGTAACTGTGCATGTCTTCTTCAGTTTGTGTGTATTAAAATTAATATTTCATGTGGTAAAAACAATTTTTTTTCATACTTTGGGGTGTCCTACACGGATTAATTTGATTTCCATTATTTCTTATGGGGAAAATTAACTTGATTAACGATAATTTTGACTAACGATGAGCTCTCAGGAACGGATTAATAGCGTTAGTCGAGGGTCCACTGTAAATGCACTGAAAACACTCGGAGGAGGATTACAAAGATGATCCCTATTAGGATAGACTGAGGGCCCTGAATCTGCACTCTTTCGAAAGGTGTATAATTAGGGGGATATGATCGAGGTGTATAAATGGAAAACAGGAATAAATAAAGGGGATTTAAATAGCGTGCTGAAAATTTCCCGCCAAGACAGGACTCGCAACAATGGTTTCAAGTTGGAAAAATTCAGATTCAGGAAGGATATAGGAAAGCACTGGTTTGATAATAGAGTTGTGGATGAGTGGAACAGACTCCTGAGTACAGTTATTGTGGTTAAAACGTTGCGTAGCTTTAAAAATGGGTTAGATAAATACATGAGTGGGTGTGGGTGGGTGTGAGTTGGACCTGACTAGCTTGTGCTACTTGGTCTGATGTGGTGCTCCTTCCTTAAGTGGAAGTGACCTGATTAGGTGGGTCATTGGGCTAATCTGGGAGGGTGGGAATGACATGGACCTGCTTTGCATGGGTCAGTAGTCTTGCTGCAGTGTTCCTTCTTTCTTATGTTCTTATAAAGCTCTACATAGAGCAGGACATTGTCAAAATAATAGTTTGCACCTGTGTCCTTTATCACTCATCAGAATTAGTTTTTTTTTTTTTTTTTTTTTTTTTTTCAACAAGTCGGCGTCTCCCACCGAGGCAGAGTGACCCAAAAAAGAAAGAAAATCCCCCAAAAGAAAATACTTTCATCATCATTCAACACTTTCAACACACTCACACATTATCACTGCTTTTGCAGAGGTGCTCAGAATACAACAGTTCAGAAGCATATACGTATAAAGATACACAACATATCCCTCCAAACTGCCAATATCCCAAACCCCTCCTTTAAAGTGCAGGCATTGTACTTCCCATTTCCAGGACTCAAGTCCGACTATATGAAAATAACCAGTTTCCCTGAATCCCTTCACTAAATATTACCCTGCTCACACTCCAACAGATCGTCAGGTCCCAAGTATCATTCGCCTCCATTCACTCCTATCTAATACGCTCATGCACGCTTGCTGGAAGTCCAAGCCCCTAGCCCACAAAACCTCCTTTACCCCCTCTTTCCAACCCTTTCGAGGACGACCCCTACCCCTCCTTCCTTCCCCTATAGATTTATATGCTTTCCATGTCATTCTACTTTGATCCATTCTCTCTAAATGACCATACCACCTCAACAACCCCTCTTCTGCCCTCTTGACTAATGCTTTTATTAACTCCACACCTTCTCCTAATTTCCACACTCTGAATTTTCTGCATAATATTTACACCACACATTGCCCTTAGACAGGACATATCCACTGCCTCCAACCGTCTCCTCGCTGCTGCATTTACCACCCAAGCTTCACATCCATATAAGAGTGTTGGTACTACTATACTTTCATACATTCCCTTCTTTGCCTCCATAGATAACGTTTTTTGACTCCACATATACCTCAACGCACCACTCACCTTTTTTCCCTCATCAATTCTATGATTAACCTCATCCTTCATAAATCCATCCGCCGACACGTCAACTCCCAAGTATCTGAAAACATTCACTTCTTCCATACAGAATTAGTATAATTTTTTATTCCATTGCATCTGCACCCAATATACTGCATATTTTAGTGTATATCAGTTTTCTTCCTGTGAAGCCCATATTACACATAACATTTTAGGTCTAGAGTTCTTGACCAATCTCTTTTAAATAAATGTAAGTTATTATGTATATAATAGCCTAGTATCTGCTTTATTTGTATATCTGTTATCTCTTTATTAGGTATACAGTAGAGTATTTTAGCACACTTTATTACTATTATTTAACTTTATTCTTATATAATGTACACCCCTATTAAGTCTGTAATATCAAGGGTTTACTTTATGTATTGTCACTCTGAATAATGTGAGACATTCAAGTTATTGTTTGTCATTCTGAATAATGTGAGACTGAATGTCTTGAATGTCTCACATTGAATGTCTTAACATTATATGTCTCACATTATTCAGAGTGACAACACATATAGTAAACCCCTTGATATTACAGACTCAATAGGGGTGTATGTTATATCAGAATAAAGTTCAACAATAGAAATAAAGTGTGCTAAAATACTCTACTGTATACCTAATATAGAGGTCTTTCTTTCTTTCAACACACCGGCCGTATCCCACCGAGGCGGGGTGGCCCAAAAGGAAAAACGAAAGTTTCTCCTTTTACATTTAGTATTATATACAGAAGAAGAGGTTACTAGCCCCTTGTAATATAGAGGTAACAGATATATAAATAAAGCAGATACTAGGCTATTATGTATATAATACATATTAATATTATTTAATAAAGAAAGAAAGATGTATAGTTTTGCTGTTAATATTAAAACTACATAATGAATGTTGTATTACTTGTTATGCTGGGATCACCTGTGCATTACCTGTATAGCTTATTTTTTATTCATTTGTGTCTAGGTTGAATTTCCAGGGACCTAGTGAAAGGAATTGGGTTGTGACCTTAGTTTGGTCCCCATTCTTAGTCAGGCCTGATAACATACCATGTCTACTGTGATTGTGAACAAGGTGCCTTGATAGTATATCTTTTGATATTCTGTTATTAAATAGAGGTCAGGCCTCTTGTGGTTCTCAGGTTACCAAATTTGTCTCTCTTCCAGTACACTACAGAGAATTGGACAAACATGGTAATCTCAGCACTGCCAGATCATTCATAAAAGGTCTGAGCACTCCAGTGAATTATTACATTTGCTTTTAGAAATTTTCAGTAAATATTCAATTATGTTATTATTTAGATTGAGAATTGATTCTCTCCTTTAGATGTGCATATGTATATGAATGTAGGGATGTGTTAGTTGTTGAGTGGCAATGAGCTGCTTATAGTGAGAGAGAAGGAAGAGTGTGAGGCTTATCAGGGGTCTTCCCCACTTTTTCTCCTCATACTAAAGGTCACATATGTGTCTTCCTCTCTCCCTCTTCAATCCTACTGTTTGAGATCACTTGAACATCTCTCTATCTTACTGTCAAAGGTCATTCTTTCATGCCTCCTTCCCTCCTACTGTCAATAAGCACTTCAGAATATCTCTCTCTGTTCATCATGAAAATTGAAATCATGCTTTGTTTTTATTACAATACAGTACATATACTGTATTTCGTGGCTTATAAGACTTGTTTTAGTTTAAGTGGCTCAGCATTGGATGTAACTTGGAGAGCTACAGCCCACCCCACACCCCAAACTTATAGCTCCCATCACTGACCTTTGGTAAATAGGATGCAGGGTGATTTTTGGAGACATTTTATGGAAAAAACGTGCGTCTAATAAGCTGCAAAATACGGTATATGACAAGCCTTCATATGTTTTTCTTTCTGACTAATTGAGTGTGTATACATAAGTAGTGCATTTATGGGGTACCCACTCTTTTCAGTGTATTCTTTAGTACTGTATAACTCAGCAAGAGCGTAAAGAGTAGTTACTCCTCCCTGCTTAGTAGGTAGAAGTGAAGAGATCTCGTGGGTGAGCCTCTTATCTTACTTAGCTTGGGCCTTGTGCAAAAGCATGAAACTGAAGCACATTATATAATTTAATTATAAGGGTAAAAGGATATTGTTAGGTGTGTCATATCGCCTTACCTGTAGTCTACCTATAGTTAATTGTGGGGGTCATCTTCTAACAGGCTGGTTCCAGACTAGGCCTCCTGATTGACAAACTTGGTTGTAGCATGCACTACAATATGTAGGCTTGGTAGCAATGAATTATGTCCACATACAAGTTATATCTTATTGTTATGTTGAGCTTTCAGTCAGAAGCCTCATTAGAGGTGTATAATGATAATGTATGTGATAATCGCCTATGTAGTATAATAAAGGAATATAATTTGTTATTGTTAACTAGTGTGTATTTTTTACAGCCATTTATACACCCACACTACTTTGCTGCATTTTTTAAATTAAAAATTGCAGTAATAGTGTCAGCCTGGCAAAAATCATCATAGTATCTGTGGCATTGTATGCAGCTTGGCCACCATCATCAAGGAAAAGTTTAGTGTCCTGATAACGAGGTCTTCTGCACGATTGTACATTCTTTTTCACATTCTTCTTACCATTATGAAGAAGAAAGTGAGGCTTGGGCTTATGAGACTGATGCCTGAAACAGTTCATCGCAGATTCAAGTAAGACTTTTTGAGGAAGAAGAGACCATTTCTGTAGACTACGATTCTGTTCCTTTTCTATCTGAGGCCAAGCTTCCTGACTCTACATTCATGAGTTTCTTCTCAGTTTGATGTCTCATCAAGTTCAGGCTGGTACTCGAGAGTGGAAAGTCCGTTCCCCTGTTTTGAAGGTAAGCTCATTCAGCTCCCCTTTAGACTGTTGTTTTGTTCACTGGAATGGGACTTAGTGATAGCTATTTTGGCTTTCAGTAGATTACTGAGAGTGGGTGATCGAGTGTGATTCGATTATTACCATTTTTTCATACAGCACCTGTGGAATGGGATTCAATCAGATTACTTATAAGACACAGACAGTATACACTGAGACTACCTCTTAGCTATTTTACATGACTGAGTATTGACATACAGCTTGAGCACAGTAAAGTTCTAGAAGTTAAATATCAGCATACACCTGTAAACACATCAAGGTTCAGCAAACTAAGTACATATTAACATACAGCTGTGAACACAACATTCAACAAACTAAGTATCAACATATAGCTGTAATCACAATGTTCAACAAACTGAATATCAGCATACAACTGTGAGCACAGTTAGGTTCAACAGACTAATTGATAACAGAGGCTTTGTTATCTTTTTTTTAAATAATATTAAGGTAATACTCATTTAACCCTTTCAGGGTTTCGGCCGTACTAGTACGGCTTATGCACCAGGGTTTTTGACGTACTAAGATAAGATAAGATAAGATTTCGTTCGGATTTTTAACCCCGGAGGGTTAGCCACCCAGGATAACCCAAGAAAGTCAGTGCGTCATCGAGGACTGTCTAACTTATTTCCATTGGGGTCCTTAATCTTGTCCCCCAGGATGCGACCCACACCAGTCGACTAACACCCAGGTACCTATTTGCTGCTAGGTGAACAGGACAACAGGTGTAAGGAAACATGTCGAAATGTTTCCACCCGCCGGGAATCGAACCCGGGCCCTCCGTGTGTGAAGCGGGAGCTTTAGCCACCAGGCCACCGGGCCTGGTAGTATGCCTAAATTCTAGCGCCCTCAAATCTAGTGAGAGAAAGCTGGTAGGCCTACACATGAAAGAATGGGTCTATGTGGTCAGTGTGCGTGGTATAAAAAAAATCCTGCAGCACACAGTGCGAAATGAGAAAAAAAAACTTTGACCGTGTTTTTGGATTAAAACAGTGACTTTGCACTGTATTTTCGTATGGTATTTACTGTTGTATTCTAGTTTTCCTGGCCTCATTTTATAGAATGGAAAACATATTACAGAAATTGAGATGATTTTGACTGGTTTTACAAAGAAAACTACCTTGAAATTGCGCTCAAAGTAGCAGAAATGTTCGATTTTTACCAAAGTTCAAAAGGAAACAAATCATGCTATGCATCCAATACAGGTCAACCGGTGAGTCTAATATTCTTTCACAAGTGCGCTGATAATATTTATACCATTTCTACACCAATGCAGTAGTCTGCATAACAGTAAATCTTCTATTTTTTTGCGAGAATAAAAATTCAAAGTGGAAAGCAAAAGAATGTAAGAGGGGCATGGGGACATGACTAATAAACAGAGGAAATGCTATTTTAGTGCCAGGAATGTCTTTCTTGTTTATTCTGGACCCTATTCGGAAATTGGCATCTTTTGAAATTTGTGTGAAATTGGCAAAATTGCTAAATTCTGACCACTGTATTGGATAGTTGATATTGGTAAATAGGTGGTTCCTTGTATTCATTCGCTAGAAAAAATGAAGTTCTAGCGAAATAGTTAGGATTTTTGTCGATAAGTACACTGGAATTGGCTGAAAATAGGGCTCAAAGTGGGCAAAATTGCCGATGTGTAAACATCGTCGGGACCACTAACTTCACGAGAGCATAATTCTGTAAGTTTTCCATCAAATTTCATACTTTTGGTGTCATTATGATCGGGAAAAGATTCTCTATTTTTTCATAAGAAAAATTATTTTTTTTTTTAAATTTGGCCGACCCTGAGAACAAGTTTCTGAAAGGGCCTGTTGACCCTGAAAGGGTTAAAGATGACAGCATAATGCAGAATTATATTGCATAAGCATCTTTCAAGGAGGGTACCTGATGCTGGTAAGGAGCTCATGATGTAAAGGATTAGGGCTACCCTTCTCTTCCTTGGATCAGTCCTTGCTACCATTCATTCTCCAGGCAATGTGTAACTCCTATGGGTAGGGGATGTGTAGCCTAGGTGTTTTATAATGAAGCATGTAAGATGTATGATGAAGTGAATGTGGGAGCAATATGGCAAATTCTACAAATGAATGGAAGAGGTAGTATGTTTATAAAAGCAGTAAAGGGGTTTTATGCAGATAGCAAGGCACATGTATATAGGAGAGAGAGGAGGATTTTTTTTATTGAAAGTAGGTCTTAGACAGGGATGTATTATATCACCTTTGCTGTTTAACATAATTATAGACAGGACTATAAAAGGGTGAATGCTGTGGTGTTGGGGAGAAGTGTGGGAGTAAAAGATAATGAATTTTATGCAAAGTGGGAGTTGTCACAGTTGCTCTTAGCCAATGACCCAATTCTTTTGGGAGAGTCTGAAGAGAAGTTGCAAAAGTTAGTGGAGGAATTTGAGAGGGTATGTACAAGAAGGATGTTAAAACTGAACATAGGAAAGAGCAAGATAATGAATAATTGGATATCAGATTAGAGAGATGGAGTACAGAGGAAATAAATATGTTTAGATAGGTCTGTAAAAGATGAGGCAAAACATAGAAATGAGAAGGGAAAACAAATTGGTGGCATATTGAGGCATCTATGAAGAAAAGGAACCTTATCCATGGAAGCAAAGAGGGAAACATGTAAGAATATAGTGATATGTACCAACACTTATGTGGGAGTGCAGCATGGGTTTTAAACATTGCAGTGAGGAGAAGGCTGGAGGTAGTAGAGATGAATATGCAAAGAATTTAGAGTATTGAGATTAAAAGGAGTGAGGTTACCAAAAGTATTACTCAGAGGGCTGAAGAAGGGTTGTTGAGGTGGTTTGGACATTTAGAGAGGGAGGAGCAGAAAATGATGACTAAGAGGGTATATAAATCTGTGATGGAGGGAAGGAAGGGTAGGAGTTGTCTTAAGAAAGGCTGGATAAAGGGGGTGAAGGAGGTTTTGAATTCTAGGGGTTGACATCCAACAGGCTTGTATGAGTGTATTAGATCGGAATGAGTGGATACAATTGGTTTTTATGGCTCTATGTGCTGTGGGAGTATGAGCAAGGTAACATTTATGAAGGGATTTAAGAAAATCAGTTAGCCGAACTTGAGTTCTGGAGGTGGGAAGTACAGTGCCTGCACTCTGAAGATGTGGAGATGTAGTTAGAAGGTTATTTGAAATGTGATGATCGCACACTTCTGTCAAGATAGCTATTGAGTAAATGACAGTGAATGTGTTACCTCTTCTTTTTGTCACTCTACTTCTGTGTTAAAAAACTTCAATATTCTTGTCTCCTTGAGGGAGGCACCTTGATGCTAGTTAGAGGCTCTTGATCCAAGAAATTGGACTTATCCAATTGACTACCATTCATGGCACTTCTATAAATCTTCTTTCTTTCAACATACCGGCCGTATCCCACCGAGGCAGGGTGGCCCAAAAGGAAAAACAAAAGTTTCTCTTTTTACATTTAGTAATATATACAGGAGAAGGGGTTACTAGCCCCTTGCTCCTGGCATTTTAGTCGCCTCTTACAACACGCATGGCTTACGAAGGAAGAATTCTGTTCCACTTCCCCATGGAGGTAAGAGGAAATAAACAAGGACAAGAACTAGAAAGAAAACCCAGAGGGGTATGTATATATATGCTTGTACATGTATGTGTAGTGTGACCTAAGTGTAAGTAGAAGTAGCAAGACGTACCTGAAATCTTGCATGTTTATGAGACAGAAAAATGGACACCAGCAATCCTATCATCATATAAAACAATTACAGGCTTTCGTTTTACACTCACTTGGCAGGATGGTAGTACCTCCCTGGGCGGTTGCTGTCTACCAACCTACTACCTTTAACTTCTATGAATATAATAATAATAATAATAATAAGAGCATTTAAATCTGAGGGGAAGGAAGGTGGGGTGGGGGTCATCCTCAAAAAGGTTGGAAGGAAGGGGTAAGGGAGGTTTTGTGGGAAAGGGGCTTGGACTTCCAGCAAGTGTGCATGAGCATGTTCAATAGGAGTGAATTTGTGCATGGGGCTCAACAACAATTAACCATCTCAGACCACTAATTACCCAACAAAAGGCTGCAGTTAGAATAACAAATTCTCACTACAGGCAACACACTCCACCAATATTCAAAACACTCAACCTACTCACCATACAAAACATCCATACTTATTATTGCACCTATTACATACATAGAACACTTAACTCTGATATTAACCCTCCCCTCAAACATCTCCTTGCCAACCTCAACAGAACACATGACCATAACACAAGGCACAGATCACTCTTTGATGTTCCTCGTGTCCATCTCACGCTATGCAAAAACTCAGTGCACATAAAAGGCCCTAAAATCTGGAATTCATTACCTGTAAATATAAAAGAAACACTACCTGTTTATAAATTCAAGTCTCTTCTCAAAGTTCACTTACTCACTCAAAACCAAATAAATACTGAATAACTGAACCTTATAAATTGTATATCCAAAATGTTACTCACAATTATATCACATAAATGTTAAACCT